AGGCATGCATTAGACAAGTGGGTTGTGGCAGGATTTCAGAGGCCAGGGGTGCCTTTCCCCTGAGAAGAGACCAGGCATGCCTGGGCTGGGTGTGGGTTGGGGAGCTGGTGTTGCCTGGAGCCCTTGATGGGGCCTGAGCTGAGTCCCCTCCTAATGCTTCTGCAGGGATACAGGGGTGACCAATAGTACCCAAGCTAACACTGGGCTCTCACTGCACGTCCCAGCTCTGTTCCAATTGTTGCTTTCATCCTCAACAATATCCCGTACAGTGGGCACTGTTATTATTTCTTTTATAGATGAGGCTGCCGAGACTCAGAGGGGCGTTAATTCAGCTGAGTCTGGCTCCAGATTCCCACCTTTTAACATTTACACAAGGGCTGGGCAGAGGGACAAACAAGGACCCTGACTTCCTGGGGTTGGGGATCTAGGGCACAATAGGCCAGAAGAATAAATAAATAATAAATAATCAGTATAATTTCAGATGGTGCTGTCATGTGAGATTGGGGAGGGGGGGACAGATCAAGGAAGGCCTCTCTAAAGGAGGTGACCAGCTGGGAAGGTCTGGAAGAAGGGTGTTACAGGCAGACTAATTCCCAAGTGCCAAGGTCTTGAAGTATGTGAGGAACAAGGAGCTAGAAGGGAGTAAGCCGAGGGGAGAGGAGAGAAGTAAGGAGGAGAGACGGTGCCAGGCCTTGTGGGCCCTCATGAGGACTTGACTGTTTACTCAGAGACATAAGAAACCATGGCAGAGTTTGGAGCAGGAGAAGGGTGTGATCTGAGTTTTAAGAACTGTGGCAGCATTGTGGAATGGTCGTTAGGGATGGAAGCACAGGGTCCCCCAGGAGGTTCCTGACATCTGCCCCAGTCTCCAGAGCCTTAGTCCCTAGGGTCCCGGTGGGAAAGAGGCCCCTGGAGGAGGCTGGAGTGGGAGGTGCTGGGCCCGGGACCCAGGCAGGAAGAGCCTCCCTCTGCTGCTTAGGGCGCCATAGGAGGTGATGCTGCTGCATGGGAGGTGTGAAGCAGCTGTGCACCCACTCAGGGGTGCGGCTTCCCCTTGCAGAGAGGGGTCATTTACAGAGTACCAGCTGTGTGCTGGGCATGGTTCTGCCGCTTTTGGGGATTCTTCCAGGTTCATTCCAGCTGGCTTGGTCCTCTCAGAGCTGTGGGGCAGTCGCTATGCTCAGCGTCACCTGCACCCTCCATGGGCCCCACTGGCTGTGCTGCCTGGCAGGCGGCTTTGATCCGTCAGAGCAGGCAGGAGTGTTTCTGTCTCCTCGAAGAAAAGCGGGGACAGGAGCCTCGGGGGTCTGCCAGGCACTACCTGGGGACTCCACTTGGCCTGGGTGTCCCTCTCAGTCCCTCCCTCGGGACTCCCACGTTCATTGCCCCCGTGGCTCCCTCATCCTACCAGCGACAGGCAGAGGCCACCGCAGCCGAGGCAAAGGGCCGGTTCTGGGGAAGGTCGCAGCAGCCAGGCCCAGCTCCCCTTCTGGGCTGTGGCCTCTGGTCTTAGGGTGAGGGAGCTCGGCCCCGCCTGGGAGCTCCTGCAAACTGGGGGTTGGGGGATGCAGGGCCACTTGGGACTGGCCGGCTGGAGGAGCAGAGGCCTAGAGGAGGCATGGGAAAGCGACACAGACAGACAGACACGCAAGCGCACCCGCGCGCACGGAGAAACAGAGACGGAAACTGAGAGAAGCGATGAGAGATACACAGAGAAAGTGTGGGAGACATTCATTCTCTCACTCAGCGGATACTGACTGGCTCCAGCTTTGTCCCGACAGTGCCCGCGACAGATTCAAATCCCTGCCTCCCTGGGGCTGGCAGTTTGGTGTGGACTCAGCCCAGACGAACCATAGATAAGTAAATCCCATTCTTGGGTGCGACAGCGTGGAGGAATGGAGTAGCCAAGGGGGCGCACGACCCAGGTCGTCCTTATCTGGGGCGGGGGCGGAGGTACTCATCACAATCCTTCCTGCGCCTGCCCTCCCCTCGTCGCCCCGAGCCCAGGGTGAGAGCGAGGACGGAGGGAACAGCCCGGACCCTCCCGCTGGGGGCAGGGGAGAGGCTACCGCAGACCCTGCGGAAGACCCTTCCTAACCCGCGTGGCCGGGGTCCCTCCGCCCACCAGGTGTTCTTGGGGTGTAGCCCAGGAGGGTCAGTTGAAATGTAAGCGGAAAATGGAGAAGGACCGGTGCCCAGAAGCCCAAGGACAAACGGGATCCCTCTGCTGGGGTTGGGGGTCTTGGGGTGGGGTGAGGTGGGGAGGAGAGGGTCAGGCTGCGGCCGCTGGACTGAGACCCTCCCCTTCCCGGGTCTCGGGGTCCTCCCTTCGCGACGGAGCGTTCTTGGGAGGGCATCCCAGGTCCGGAAGGGGCAGCCGAGGGCTCGCCGG